CACCTTGTACATCATTTTTGTTTAACACAATAAAAACAACCATAAACAAACAAGAATATCCATCTCTTAAAGCACGCCCTGGACCCTATTTTCCAACTTTCCTTTCGCAAATATAAACAATTAACAACGCCATTGACGTCAACAATGATTCCGGCATCACTGCCAGACAGATTGATATGATCCCTATGTTCTTTTTATTCCACGATTGCTACTGTCAAATCGACCAATCAGCAACTGGCTCGGATTTGACAGCAAATTGGCTCGAAATCGCTACCCGATTGTCAAGTCCCGTCCCAGGTTAAAACTGAAGCACATAACAGTGTGGTGTCTACCCTTGCATTTCCGGCAATTGAATTTTGAAGAGCATTCCCTAGCGATGTGGCCACGTTTCAGACAATTGCGGCAATGACTCTCTGGAAGACATCGACATCTTCAAGAAGACAGGACAGATGTGTAATCCGTGGAAACACATTTTGCACCATTGGATTGAACAGCATTGTGACTTGCTCTTTGAACGACTGATTTTCGTTTTTCCTGCAGCGTAAATTCCTCCCAACCACGCCGAGTTGTAGGATCTAAACGGGAACTGAGCAGCTCAACTAACACCAAGTCCTTGTATTCCGCAGGATCTACTACTTGATCGAGGTTCTGAATAGCCCTATCGAATCCCTCTACCAGTCGTTGTAGATCATTAACGGATTTTTTGACAAGAGATGGTAGTTTTAACATCGCCTGAATAGTTGGCAGCAGTAATCTTCAGAGGATCAACGAGTGCCTTTGCCTCTCCTCCTAGGCATCCTTTGAGGTAGTGAAATTTCTCAACAGGTGGCAATTCAGTTTTGTGGTGAATCAGAGAAGTGTATATGTCCCTGAAGCTCAACCACTCATCTATATTCCCATCGAAATGCTGTAGTTGGATTTGTGGCAGGCGAACATGTTCCACAACACCGTGTAACGAAGCATCACCTCCTCGAACAGATTGATTTGAAATATCTTGCAACTTGTTCAGCTTGTCCAACAGGAAGGATTTGACATCGAAGAAACGGGATTCGAATTCAGCCTGATCCTTCTGAATGGTTTCACTCTCTTCGAAATCTTCATGACTTTCTATCTCCCAAACAGTCTCATTGATAGACTCCCACAGTTCTTCGAGACGTGTAATACGAACATTGATTTGATTAGCTGTCGTACCCTCCTTGAAATCGCTTGAGAATTTTGTAATATTGTTGAATGTAGTACGAAGTCCTCTGAGTTTTGCCGAAAGAGCCTTTAGTGGTTTCGGACCCTTGGTCGCCATGGTCGAATCTCGTTGATGCCGTTAAAATGCGGAAAGGGGAAGACACGTGGATGTAGTTTCGAGAAATTTGTCTTCTTCGGCTGAACATATACTGCTCACCTCACCTATGCGAGAGAGCAGCTGTACTCCAGAAGCCGATCAGATCCAAAAACGGAACACCATAGAGTAACTCCACGTGTATGAGTGATTCAGTGACGTCAGACTCCAAATAAATCCAGCGAGTAACGAAGGGGCGGAAAAGGCAGATGTAGTACGAAAAAACCTCAACTTCGGCTGTACATATACCGTAAAGCTCACCTAGAGAAATACAGTTTACACCAACAGCCTGATTCGTCAGGTCACATTCGCAATCGTTGTACAACAGCAAGTAGTAAATCGTCTAGAAATAAGTTATCCAGCGCAAGAGAGGAGAAAACACAGCAATGTAGTGTTGAATGAAGCCTGCTTCGGCAGGACATATACTCTTAGTCTCACTTGGAGAACTGAAGATGAAGCAGCAACTGCATAACGATGCTCCAAAACTCCAGTTGTCTCCAAATGTGCGATAGCGAGGCGATCCAGACCAGTCGTGATGGCGGTTTATTTATTTATTTATTTATTTATTTATTTGTCTGCATCAACAGGCTGTGTAAAGCCCCAATGATGATTTAAGTAACTTATATAGGTAAATCAAAAAATAAAAACTAAGAATAAAATACATAAATAAAACACACAATCATTCACGGTTAACTGTGCCAGAAAAGAACGATGAGAAGTATCTTCGTAGCAGCTGTCGAGGCATATGGAAGTCGAAGATGCCCGAGACTCGATTGAACACTCGTTGCAGCCCACCTATTGCACCGTTCATGCCATAGTTTGTGCGCTGAAGTGGCAATCTCAGCAAAACGTTGTTACGTAGCGCACGGGGTTGGACGTTAATGTTGACTTGCCCCAAGATTGCACTGCAATCAATTCTACCTTGTAAAGTGTCCGCAATGAACAGGGCCCTAGAGGTGTCTCTTCTAGTTCGGAGAGGCTCCAGATCAATCAGCTGGCAACGACTTTCATAGCTGGGCAGATGAAATGGGTCTCTCCAAGGCAGCTTCAGCAGAGCGAATCGAAGAAAACGGCGTTGAATGGACTCAACTCTCTCAGCACCATTGTTGTAGTTTGGACTCCAGACCACAGAACAATATTCCAGAATGGATCGCACCAAGGAACAGTACAGTGACTTCAAACAGTAGATATCGGAGAAATTCTTTGCTATCCTGAAGCTAAATCCCAATATCCTAGACGCCTTGTCGACAACGTACGAGATGTGCTGCTTGTGCGTAAGTTGAGAATCTAGAATAACACCCAGATCTTTCACATGGTTCACACGGTCGATTACAGTGCCGATAAGTTTGTATTCAAATGTGATTGGTTCTTTCTTCCGAGTAAAAGTGATCACTGAACAGTTAGTGGGGTTAACCACCATTCGGTTCAAATTACACCAGCTGGCAAAGGCTTCGAACTGACGTTGAAGGAAGTGACAGTCATCAATCGATTTTCGGTAGTTCGGTAGTAGGATTCGTCGGTAGATTTTAAGATCGTCTGCATACGATAGTCGTGGGCCTTCGATGACCAAGTTCACGTCATTGAAGTAGAGTAAGATAATCAAAGGTCCCAGGTGATTTCCTTGAGGTATTCCTGACGTTGCTAGATAGATATTGGACCGGTTGTCACCAATGGCAACCATCAGTTGCCGATCAGTGAGATATGAACGAAACCATCGCAAGAGGTTGCCGCTGACCCCAAGTATATGCAACTTGGCAATCGCGATGGCATGGTTTAGCTTATCGAAGGCAGCTGACAAGTCGGTGTATATGACGTCTGTTTGAGTCCTCTCTGCCATGCTTTCCGTAAGATACGATGTCAAACACAGCAGATTTGTGGAAGTAGAACGACCGGAAGTGAAGCCGTGTTGATCACCACTTAGATACTGCTTACAATGAGAGAGTAGAGGCTCCATGATGACTAACTCGAATAACTTCGAAACTGCGCTCAACGACTTAATTCCACGATAATTGTCCACATCCCGTTTGCTGCCCTTTTTGTGGATAGGAAACATATGTGCGAATTTCCAACAAGATGGAAATGTACCACTCGAGATGGACAATCGAAATAGGTGAAGCATGGGCATCAGCAAGCTGGCGATATGCTTTTTCAGGAATACGGATGGAACGCCATCGGGTCCTGGATTGAAGGACGACTTGAGTTGTGATGCGGCAGTGGAAATCATCTCGACGTTGACATCCATCGCACCCAGTGTTTGACCGTACAGTGGAACATTACTAGCTGCTAGGGTAACGTGTTCGTCAGTTAATCTCTCATTCGTGAAAACACTGGCGAACTTCTCAGAAAACAAGCGACAGATCTGCTGAGGAGTGGAAGCAACTGCTCCATTCAACACCATTGAAGAAGGTAGGCCGGATTCCTTGCGCTGCTCATTTACGTAATTCCAGAATGACTTCGGGTGCGACTTGAGTTTCCTCTGAATCCCTCGTTGATATCGCGAATAGCACCGACGGCTAACTCGCTTGAACTCATAATTGAGCCTAACGTAGTGACGTTTCAGCGAAAGCGTACGATACTTAGTGAATTTTCTTAATGCGGCTCTTTTGGTCGACTTCAACCTACGCAGTTCACTCGTCTGCCAGGGAGGATGAGAAATTCTACGGTAGACTCTTTTCGGAACGTGCCTGTCAATGACATAAGCCAAGACATGTGAAAATGTTTGCGCAGCGGTTTCAACATTATCAGGATAGAGGATGCTCTCCCAATCTATACTAGATAGCACGTTGACGATACTACGGTGATCGGCTTTCCGGAAATCGTATGACACGGTCGTGGAAATGTCATCAAAGACCCGATCGTGATTGCCAGCAACAGTGACAACCAAGGGAGGGTGATGATGTACTTGCTTTACTAGTGGAGAAGGTGCCGTGGAGATGAAAGGAGCGGTGTCCTGAACGCTAACGAAGCAGAGGTCCAGGCTACGGTTGTTTTCGTTGACTACGTGGTTTATTTGAGATAGTGTTGCTGTACTATAGCAGTCGAGAAGGCTAACTGATCCTGTATGAAATACAGAGTGTACAGGGTCTGGGTAGAGAAAGCCGCTGTAAGATGGTTTCCAGAAAACACCGGGTAGATTGAAGTCACCCAGAACGATTATCTCATCAGTTGGTGTCGCACTCTCCATTATGGTGAAAACGGACCGGCAATGGGTATCGATAAGTTCGTTGTCACGAACCCGGTCAGGTGCAATATACACCGCACATAGGTACAGTGTGCGATCGCTCAGTTCTACGGCCACCCAAACTTCTTCCACACAGTTCCACAAGACGTTTTCAATAGCTCTCGCCTTTAACCCGGAACGAACTGCCACGAGAACACCACCTCCAGTAGATTTCCGACTGTTTTTCGGATTTCTGTCACAGCGGAAAACCTCGTATTCGGATCCGAACACCTGGATGGAAAGCGTTCGAGAATCGAGCTAAGTCTCGACAAAAACGATGACATCGTAGCACCGGTCCGATACAGCTAGGTGGTAGTCAAGAACACCAGAATTCATTCCGCCTACGTTTTGGTAGTAGAAAATGACGTCGTGTTTACTACGGTCGGTGGTCGCACGAGGTAAGGCGTTTTCCCTGGAATTCATGGAAATATCAGGTGGCGAATGGACATGAACAATCTCAAGTGGATACTCGCCGTAGTGAGTAGGTTGGAAGACCCCCTCTCCACATCCAACCACAGGCCCGGAACGACTATGAAGATCGGTTGACGGAGTGCTCGTCGGTGGAGGAATATGGGAATGAGCTCATGACGACCAGCCACAAGTTGACGGAAGTTGGTTTTGCGGTCGATGACACTTGGCTGGCGTGTCTGCTGTTGATGGGCTTGCCAGAGTCATACGAGCCGATGATTATGGGCTTGGAAGCATCGGGAACGCGTATTACAGCGGATGCAGTGAAAGCAAAAATCCTCCAGGACGTGAAAATCGGCGGCATTTCGGCGGGAGGCAGCAAGGAAGAGGATTTCTACAGCAAGAAAAAGGCGGCTGGTAGCAAGAAGAAGACTGACAAATCGAAGATCCAGTGCTACAGGTGCAAGCAATTTGGTCACTTTGCTTCGGAGTGTCAGCAGAAAGGACCGAAGAACAAGAAGGAGAAATCCGGTAAAAGGAACGCAGCGATGACCACCTTTTAGAACCCGAGGAAAAGTGAATCGGACTGGTTCTTCGATTCAGGAGCTACATCGCACATGTACAGTAGTAAGGCGTTTTTGCTGAACGTGCAGGAAACGTCACAGCGCGTGAGTGTAGCCAACGACGCTGAACTGTCCGTAGTTGCTACCGGGAGTGTGGAGCTAGAGGCAGACATTGGAAAAGAGTCCTGTGACTTGACGATGTCCGATGTATTGTGCGTTCCGGATATAGCGATCAACCTTCTTTCGGTCAGCAGGATGTGCAGTAAGGGCTACAGCGTTCAGTTCACGAAGGAAACGTGTGAGGTGCGGCGAGTTGGTTGCCGTTGGTCAGGAGACAGGTGGTCTGTACAAGCTGTGTTTGACCAACAAGCAAATGTCGTGCGCTGCGAAGTCGAAGGATGACATCATACTGTGGCATCGGAGAATGGGGCATCTAAACGAGCAGAGTTTGATGAAGCTCCGAAGATTGGCCGATGGGATTGATTTCGGTAACGCCAAAGATTCCACTTTCGACAGCCGTTCAACAACGAGGGCACTCGTGAGACCGAGGTGCTGCAGCTGGTCCACTCGGACCTGTGCGGTCCGATGGAGGAGGAATCAATCGGCGGAAGTAAATATTTCCTGTCCTTCATCGACGATGCGAGTCGCAAGTTGGTCGTGTATTTTCTCCAGTCGAAAACAGAGGTACTCGAATGCTTCAAAGAGTACAAAGCATTGATGGAGAATCAGACCGGAAAAAGGATCAAAGGACTTCGAACCGATAATGGCACCGAATATGTGAACACCGGCATGAAACGGTTCCTGCGCAGCTGCGGTATTCGTCACGAAATGACAGTACCGTATAATCTGGAACAGAATGGACTAGCGAAGCGCATGAACAGGACCGTTGTGGAGAAAGCTCGTTGTTTGTTGCTGGATGCAGACCTGGATAAGAGCTTCTGGGCGGAAGCTACGGCGATGGCGACTTTCCTTGTTAATCGATCACCGACTAAAAGTGTTCCGGTGACACCGGAGGAGCGTTTCACTGGAAAGCGACCAGACTTATCGGAACTGAGGGTTTTTGGTGCAAAGGTGATGTGCTACATTCCCAAGCAACGCAAGCGTAAGTGGGATGCCAAGTCCAAACCGGGAATCTTTGTTGGCTTGTCGAGTGTACCTGCCAAAGACGAAAACGGTGAAAGTCGTTCGTGATGTAGTTTTTCCCAGCGAGGAGGACGCAGTGTTGCCGAAAAGTCGAACGATGACGAACGAAATTATTTTTGGTGACGAATCAGGCGCAGGGGGAGTTGAACAAACGGAAGAAACTTCAGAAGCCAGCGACGAAGATAGCAGTCAGCCGGAAGATGTTTCAGAAGCCAGCGATGGAGATGGCAGTGAGCCGGAAGATGTTGCAGAAGCCGACGACGACGATGGCCCCGGACCGTTGTGTGTCAGTGCAACCGAATCTCTAGAACCAACCTCAGCAGAAACCGTCACGCTCCCTTCACAATCTGTAGATCCTCTCGCGATCAGGGGCAGTGAACGGGAGCGGCAATATCCCAGGCAAGTATCAAGATTATGATATGACGTACAGTGTTATTCCTAAAAGGTTGTCCGTGTCTCCGGAATCATCGAAGGAGCCGCAGTCTTTCCAAGAAGCGATGGAGTCCGATGAGAAGCAGTTGAGGCAGCGTGCTATGGAAGCCGAGTTCAAGGCGCTGATGTCGAATAACACCTGGGAGCTGACCGACCTACCACCTGGACGCAAGGCCCTAAAGTGCAAGTGGGTACTGAAGAAGAAGATGAACTCTGACGGATCGCTGGATCGACACAAAGCTCGTGTCGTAATCTAGGGTTTTTTGCAAGTGAAGGGCATCGATTACAACGAGACCTATTCTCCCGTTGTCAGATATGCCAGTATCCGATATCTGATGGGCATGGCAGCGCAGCTAGACTTGCAGATTCATCAGATGGATGCAGTCACTGCCTTTTTGCAAGGGGAACTGTCCGATGAAGAGATCTTCATGGAGCAACCTTTTTTTTTTATATCTTTATTAAGGAGACTTTCAGCCGTTGGCTGGCTCGTCTCCGAATACCCCAGAGGGGGGCATTCCTAGGGGAAAAGGGGGTTTACAGAGTTTTTAGAATGTACAGAGTTTTGGTTTTTGAAACTTATGTTTCCTGTCTCAGCTAGCTGTCAAATTTTCATTTCAAAGGCTGTCTAAAGGACCCCGGTAGAGCCCCACCGGCAGAGGCTGCCAGGTGAACCTGGCAGCTGCCACCGACAGGGGTTGCCGGGCCTGCTATCAAAATAGTATTTTTCGTGTTATAGTGACTAAATTCAGGACCCCGGTAGAGCCCCACCGGCAGAAACTGCCAGGTGACCCTGGCAGCCGCTGCCGGCAGGGTTGCCGGGCCTGCTATCAATATCGTATTTTAAATATTTTTGTAGATTCCTGCTTCCTTCGTAAAGCAGATGAGATGAATTTCCGCTACCGGGTCGTTTTGGAGGACGTCCCGAATGTTGTCGGCCAGACCGTACAACTCCCGTGATCCGTGGAAACACGGGCAGTTGATAAGGATGTGCTCAACCGTCATCGTTGTTCGGCACGCGTCGCATCTCCTCCGGAAGCCTCCACCGCTGCTGCTTCCCATGTTGTGAGTAATCCGGGTGTGACCGGTTCGAAGTCTGGAGAGTATTCTCTGTTCCGCGTAACTTTTGGTGTCCGTCCATGGGGCCGTTTCCCCTTTGACCTTTCTAATGAAAAGCTCTTGGTTGCTGTTCCATTCGTTGCCCCATGCTGACCTGATGGTAGATTTTATCCAGACTTTCAGGTCTTGTCTGGGGACCGACTTGTGGGCAAGACGGCCGCTTCGTCCGGTGGCCGCGAGGTGGTCGGCTTCAATGTTACCGGCGATTCCGCAGTGGCCCGGTATCCACATGAAGGTGGTGCCGGGTTGTGTGTGCTTCTAGATAGCCTGAATCCACGGGTGGCGTGCAGTGGAAGATTCCAATGCAGCCAGGGCGCTGGCGGAGTCCGTGAGTATGCATAGAGGGGAGGAGGATGGTAGGGAGGTCACGTAATGTAGGGCTGCTGCTTCTGCTGAGAAGACCGAGCATTGGTCCGGGAGTTTCCAGAAATGGGATGTTCGGCCATCAGTTACTCCAAAACCTACTTGGCCCCTAGCCTTCAATCCGTCGGTGTATCGGAGTTGGTGGTTATGGTACATCGTTCTCAGTCGCTCGGTGAGGCAGGTTCTCATTTCCGCCGAGTTGTCCCCTGCTCTGAATCGGTTGGCCATGGTTCTATCTGATCGGATGGGGGAGGCATCCCACTCCCTGGCTCCGACCCAGTGGAGTTTAGACACCGGAGGGAGCTCCTGGTGGGCGGTCTCTTGGATAATTCGTTTCCCCTCCGAGAGGAGATAGAAATCTCCGTCTCCGCTGAGTTGCTCGTCGAGTCCCACGGCTCTCGTACAAACCGACTCCGCAATGAAAAACCGGAACGGTAGTGTTCCGGTCTCAATGCATGCGGCGTCGGCTGGTGTTGATGGCAGTAGACCGGCTGCAATCCGAGTAGCCTGGTTGTATATCGGTGCAAGACGGGAGATGATGGAGTCGCTGGACGCGCATAGAAGTTCGATTCCATATGTCAGTCGGCTGTGGACGATGGATCTGGCGGTGTTCATCACAATACCTCGGTTGTTCACCTTGTGTGGACCGGATAGGGAGCGAAGGATGTTTAGTCTTGTTCGACAGTTGGCCTTGACCTCGTTGAGGTGGGGGCCGAACCGGAAGTTTCGGTCAATCGTGACTCCTAGTATGGAGATGGATTTCCTCCTGGGGATTGCCTGCTTGTCGATCCTAATCGGGGTCGGTAGAGGCCGGTGACCATGCCGGCAGACATGGGAAACCGAGCTTTTCTCGGCTGGCGGCCCATCTGCTAACCGCAGAGACCGCCGCCTGCAATTTTACCTTCATTGCTTTTAGAGTTTTCCCGACTACTAGGAGCAAGATGTCATCCGCATACACCAGGATGTATATTTCCTTTGGCAGTCCCACAAAGATTCCGTTCATTGCCACCAAGAAGATGGTGACAGCAATTACGGAACCCTGTGGAACTCCAGTCTCCTCTCGCCTGGTGTTGGATCGATGATTACCGATGGTCACCTGGAATGTCCTGTCCTGTAGGTAATTCCTCAGGAAGTAGAGAATATTTCCTCCAAGACCCCATTTGGACAGTTGGTGTAGGACTTGTGGTGTCCATGCCCTGTTGTAGGCCTTAGCCAGATCCAGGGAGGCCAACTCTACGTGTTGGTCCTTATGGAGTGCCTCCTGGACGATCTGGCCGAGGCTATTAAAATAGGTGCTGGTTCCGTGGCCAGGTCGAAAAGCGTGTTGCCGGTGGTCCAACAGGCTGTTCCCTTCGAGGAAGCCCGTCAGTCTTCGGTTAACCAAGCGCTCCATAATTTTGCTGCAACAGCTGGTCAGGGAGATCGGTCGGAAGTCCTTAGCCAGTAATGCCGGTCCGGGGTTTTTCGGAATGGGTACGATTAGACTGTGTTTCCAGGTGTTCGGCATCTGGCGGTCAGTCCAGGCCTGGTTGAACAGTTTGAGGAGGGTCACCTTTTGCGTGGGTGGGAGGTTCCTTATCATCGGGTATCCGACCTCATCCGGCCCGGCGGATTTGCCCTTGGTCTTTCTGAGGGCAAAGCCCAGCTCTTCCATTGTGAAAGGCCTGTTGATGGTGAGGTCATTTCCGTCGTCGGGGATTTGGAAATTGTTGATGCTGGAGGTGGAGACGGAGTTGCGGTTTCGGAAACCCTCGTCGTAGTTTCCCAGGCTGGACAGCGACTCGAAATAATCGCCAAGGAGGTTGGCGATTTCCTCCGGATCTCGGGTTATTCCGTTTGGTCCTCGGAGGGTGAAGCCCCGGGCTCGCCTGCTTCCCCGGATAGCGTTGATCCTTTGCCAGATCTCGGACGCAGATTGGTTGGCATTTATCTCATCTAGGAACCTTTCCCAGCTGGCCTTTTTGGCATCCCGGATGGTTTGCCGGCACTGGTTCCTGGCGGAGTGGTACACTTCGATGGCCTTTTCTTTATCAGGGTGGCCCTGCGGTAGACGTTTGGCTGCGCGGAGGGCCTTGCGCCTGGCTTTGACGGCCGCCTTCGTTGTGGGTGACCACCAATGAAGGGGTTTGGGTCCCGGGTTCGCCTTTGATTTGGGAATGGCCTGGTTCGCTGCCTTTACCATATTTTCCGTAAGCTCGTCCAGACTCAGAGGTGGGTTCTCCTGACATATGCTGCTGATGCTTATTTTGTAACCTTCCCAATCGGCACGGTCGTAGAGCCACCTTGGACGACGGGAGGTCTCCGGGGGGTTGTCGTTGACCGTGATGAAAATTGGGAAGTGGTCGCTGCCTCCAGGGTCGTCGGACACCTTCCACGCTAGCCGGTGGGCGATATTCCCGCTTACCGCCGAGATGTCAATGGCCGACTCTATCGGTGGACGGGTAAACGTGTTCGACCCGTCGTTGATAATGATCAGGTCGTGTTGTTCCGCAAGATTTGCTATGATGGAACCCCGGGTGTTGTTTCTAGGACTGCCCCACGTAGTATGGTGACCATTAACATCGCCTAGCATGAGGACCGGTTCCGGAAGTGCGCTGATTATGTCGCTGAGTTGCTTCGCAAGCCCGTTGATCTTGCCGTTTGGGAGGTAGACGCAGAGACGTGATAGGAAACGGGACCTCTAGTCTGACCCCCACAATTGGCAGATCGGCGTCGATCTCGACTATGGGAACAGTGTGTCCTTGACGACTCCAATGCCCACAGATTGGAACACATTCTGGTTCGTCTTTGTGGTCCAGGTGTATCTTCCGGAGAGGAATCTGTTCAGGCTGGTTGGGTCAGCACGGTGGATTTCCTGGATACCTAGGATCAGTGGCTCGTGCTCTCTGACTAGCACCTCTAGGTCTCCAATGTTATGGTAAATACCATTAATATTCCATTGGATTGCTAGGGTGGAGATCTTCGCGTTACTGGGTCGGTTTCCTATGGCTAACGTGGTCGATTCGGCGTCGTCGGCGCTGACACTATACGAGATTGAAGATGTGTTGGAGGTGGTGTCGTGATTTGAGGCGGACCCCAGTAGAGCTCCACCGGAAGAAGCAGTCTGTGAGGACCCCGCAACCGGCAGAGATGCTGGA